GTCATTATAGACTAGCTTGCATTTTCTAGAAATTTATGTACATAGAATTGTACAGGAGGTACTCTTCTTTTTTATGAATTCTTTCAATATCACTATTTTGAGATTCATCTATGTTGCGTGTCACAGTAGTTCGTTCCTTTTTATTGCTAAGCAATGTCCTATTGTACAGTTATACTAGGATTTGTTTGTCCAGTCATTGTGAATTTAGACCTTTCTTACGTTTTCCTTCAGCAAGTCTTCTGATTTGCTGGTATTATTTGTAACCATTTAAGAGACAAACATTGAGGTGTACACACACACACACACACACACACACACACACACACACACACANACACACACACACACACACACACACACACACACACACACACACATACTCACATGCATGCGTGCACACACTCGAGTTCCAAACCCTTTCATAAAAGGGGCTGTAGTTCCTTGTTCTTACAGTCATCCCCCAGCCTGTTTAGGGATGAGCTCCTTGTTAGTCATTTGTCAGAGTAAGTTTGACAAGTGTTGGGATAGGAAGCAGCTGGACTGTTTGTGCCTGTGCTCCGTTTGAGATTTTGGGATATGTTGTATGGTATGTTGATTTATTTCTCTGGATGAAATGCATTTGAGTAGATAACCTTCATTTGGGCTTCATAATTTAGCAGTTATGGATGCAACCTAGCACCTTTTAATTCCACAGGTAAACAGATTCCTTCTTAGTTCATAGCAATTTTTACAGAGATGGTTAAAACCATCTCTCATTAACCTGGCAGGTAGAAGATAACCTACTGTTAATCTCTGTGGGGTCTTGATTAAATCACTGCTTTTTGCTTCTGTTTTGGTCCATTTGGAAGCGCTTACTGCCATTGTTTTCTCTGATGACCTGAGAATACACTTCACGATGTCCAGTAATAAATCCTGGGAGTTGGGCTGTTCTGAACGGCATTGACTGTTGCATGGAGTAGGAGGTTATGGGATGCCAGGGCTGTCACCTTGTGGTTCTCTCTGCTGTTGCCTGGAGAGGAAGAGGAAATAATGTTGTATCTAAGGTACAGGACTATCCTGGTCTCACAGGGCTCTTTGCTGGTGACACCCAGTGTGGTTCATTTACGCGGAATTAGGATAGGCAGTTGCCATATCATTCAGGAGGCAGGAGCTAGTCCCGAGAGACATGCCACGGTGTAATACCTGTCCTCTTGGGTACCTGTGGAAGGGTAGCCTGGTAACTGGTTGTCCTTCAGGGTAGAGGATGGGCGTAAAAGGGAGACATTTGTCATTGTATGCACCTGCCTTCTTATTTTGCACGAATAGGCATTTATTATCTACCCCCAAATGCATACATTTTAAAAAAGTGATACCAAATTTTTGGTTTGAATTCATTTCCACTATTTATGGGGAAGTCGTAGTTCTTCAATTAAAGAAGTTTGGTATTACCTTCTCAGTGTTGGTACCGACAGTAGTGGAGTTTAATTGACTTTATGCTTGAAAGAGTTGTTTTTCTGTGGCAATAGGCTAATCATGTTTGAAAATGCGTGTATCCTTTAAGACTTGGCTGCCGTTGCATGAAATTTGGTGGATGAAACTAGCAATACAGATTCAGTGGAGGGAGATGCGATAATTATGATCTTAAATCTCGGTGCTCAATTGTTTGTTTGGAAGTTGGAAAACAAGCATATATCACTTTTAAGAATGTATGTATTTGGGGGTAGATGATGGAAAATGTCTCCCCTTTACCCAGCACACAATGGATAGCCATACGTTGTAGCTGTGTTAGTTCTTGCTGTCTCTTCCTCTCCGGTATTCGTTTGCCTCCCCAACCCTACCCCACCAGTGAAGGAATGACTAAGATATGTTTTCAGATTGGGGAACTTTTATCTTTAAGACCTTTCAGAACAGTTATTTGAACGTCTGGGTGTGTATGTATTCTCGTTACTTTATTTTATTTTATTTTTTGTAAATTAACAGATAGGACTTCTGCATCTGGGTGTCCTACAGGTTGTTTTTTTCCTTTTATTTTTAAAAAAAAGATATTTATTAAAACTATAACTCACTTACAATGTTATATTAGTTTCAGGTGTACACCACAGTTGTTCTACATTTACCGTAACCTAAAGAAGTACTCACCATCAGTCCAGCAACCATCTGACACCGTCCCACGCTATCACAATATTATTGACTATATTCCCCACGCTGTACATTACATCCCCATGACTTACTTGTTTTATATCTGGAAACTTGAACCTCTTATTCACCTTCCCTTTCCCCCCCTTCAGATTGTTCTCTTGATAATTGAACTGTAGCTGCTCTCACTAAGGTTACCACCAGTAAAGTTGCAATTGCCAAATTAGGTGGCTTGTTTTGGACTTCATGCCCTGTGACATCTGACAGTGACCATGGCCTCTGGAGCCTCCTCCCCCCCCCCCCAGCAGCCTTCTTGTTCTGCTTGCTGCTGTGACTTGGTCCCAGATGTGACCATTGCAGGTCTGGATGGTTACACCCTGGGTCCTCTTATCTTTCTGTAACGCTCCCTCAGCAGTGTCCATGACTCCCAGATCCTCATCTGCCCTGCTGGCCCCAGACCTGTCTTCTAGCCGTCTTCCAGGGTGCCTTCTTCTCCCCTGGGACTCTCACACTGAGCATACGTGGGGGACAGCTCTTTCTCCCACTGAAACCTGCCCTTCCCCCCAGTTGCCCTGTCCTGATTCATGGCATCGTCCATTCATCACTCGTTGCCTTTCCCTTCCTCTCATCCCCGCGTCCAGTGACCAGTCCTGACAGCCCCGTGGCTGAAGTGTTCTTTGAATCGCCTTTCCTCTCTGTCCTCCCTGCATCTCCAGGCCTTTCTTTCCCAAGGAGACTCCAACAGCAGCTTCCTAGCCTGTAGCTACACTCTCCTAATTCTGTTCCTTCCTTTGCAGAAGCAGAGGATGGGTCACAACTCTTCCTTATTTTGAAAATTTTTAGTTTTTCATCACTTAGGGGCTCAACTCTAAGCTCCTCAGTGTGACAGTCAAAGCCCCTCACTCTCTGAACCCAACCCACCCCCATTTTGACCTTATCTCCCACAATTCCCTGCCCACACTGTGCTCATTGGTACTTTTATGCCCTTGTGCTACCTTCACATCTTTTTTTTTTTCCTGCTTAAAATGCCCTTTCTCATATTTTCCAACACAGTGGTTCTCACACTTTGAGAATTATAAAAACCTGTGTGTGTTTTTAAAAAGGGACTTTGGGGCCCACCCCTCCAAAATTTTGATTTAGTCTCTTGAAATGAGGCATGATCTCATTTTTTTAACCTGTGAGATGATAATGTTGAAATGGATGTTTACAAAGATGTGCGAGTCTATATGTCAGTGATCCTAGAATAATTCTACAACAATTACCACGTTTTATTTTATATTAGATAAATATGAAGAGAGATTGAGAGAGAGAGAGAGACTCCTCAGATGGTTGTGGAGATCAGCTATGATTGGACACTCGTATGTCACCTACTTTGTGACATTCACCCCTTCCTGCTTTTTCCTTTGTGATGTTCTTAAAGCACTTTCTATATAACCCATAGAGACACGTTAGTGACCAAGTTCAAGTTCCTTGTGTACATGTTTGCTTTTCTCATTAGATTCTAAACTTATCCAGGCTGACAGTTGGACCTAGGAGTTTTTCGATTTCCCATGCTTCGCCCACAAGATGCCATATAAATTTTTGTGGCATTAAGAGATATTTGAAGCTTTTTTGACTGTAGGAAGCTTTATAGATGTGAGTAGTTATTACTATCAAGAATATTTACCTTTCAAATGGACTTTTTGCTTAATTAAAAAAAATTCTGTTGAAACCCTAGAAGGTGGAGAGAGTGCTTAGAACTTGCTGGAAAGACATTGTGCTCCTACAAGTCTGTTTCCAAGAACACGGTCTCTTAGACAATGTGCAGCAATGTTTACTCTTTTTCTCCTTGTGATGCAAGAAAACACACACAGTTCTGTCTCTAGGCAGAGATGTCTCTATGGGTCGTGGCAGCACCTGTGTATAAATAGTGTGATTTGTTCATAATTGAGGGGCCTGAAACAGGGTCTTTTTTTGTTATGTGTTTTCTGCAAGTTCCTAATGTCAAATGGATTTTTTTTTCATTTATTTGTAGATTTTTAAGACATATTTTCCATAACATTTTATGAGAATATACGAGAGAAATGGAGATCATGCCCAAGTCTTTAAATATCGTAAGAGTCTTATTCGTAGCCTTTTACTGGATCATTTTTCTAGGGCAAAAGAAACGTTGAGGGAGAGGAAAGCGTGGAGGGCGATGTAGTTCCGAGCGACTTGTGAGGACTAGGAAGTTGACGTTGGTGGGCTTGGGAGTAAACGCTTCCCCTCGTGGCTTTCCGAAGGCTCCTTGCTGTTATCATTCACCCGTTCTCCTCCCGAGCCAGCCTGTGAGACCCCCAGAGCCGAGACATGTGGTTCCCACAGTTTCGCAGTTGGTGGTTCTAGCTCAGCAGCACCCCCTTGACCCCCCCCACCGCCCGGGATGGGGACAGACCTCCAAATAGAAGAGGACGTGTTCCGCCAGACCCCGGGGAACTTCACCAGATCTTGACCCTGGGGATCTGTGGAGAAACGTGGAGCTCTTCTTTTTGACCATTGACAGGGGAGCCTAAATCATTAACCAAGTTTCTCTTTCCCTCAAACCACAGGCTACCCACCTGTGCTTTCCATTTCCATGTCTGACCCCTGTGTCCTCCAGATTCTTCCAGGTGCCCCTCCAGGCCTTGTCACCACCCTGGGGGCCACCTGTCATCGCCAAGTGTAGTACAGGCCGTGTGTACCCGCCCATCACTTTGAACTTGAGGCTGTCATCCCTGGGAAGGCCCTTGATTTTTGTTTTTGTTTCTTTTGTATATTGGAAGATATTAATTTTATATAGTGTTTTTGTCCTAAAAAATTTAAATGTGACATCAAATGAAAAACTCAAGTCTGTGTTGCTAATATGAAATTTTAATTTTTCTTTGCAGGTCAACTTTGTAGTGTGCCAACTCTTTGCCTTGCTAGCAGCCATTTGGTTTCGAACTTATCTACATTCAAGCAAAACTAGCTCTTTTATAAGACATGTCGTTGCTACCCTTTTGGGCCTTTATCTTGCACTTTTTTGCTTTGGATGGTAAGTATTTTGATCCTATTTAAATGAAGACTTTGGACACCTCTGTGAATTGAGTGTGTAGAAAGATACATTCTGTAGGGTTTTGTTCTTATGTTTACTTATAAAGTTTTATAGTTTTTAGTTTTAATAGAAAAAACAAAGAGTAGAGAATGGGCTCTGTCTCTTGAGTTTGGGCTCGGAGGGCAATTTACTATGTATAATGTATGAAAAAGGACAGAGGAAGAATAAAGACACTTTGTTCTGTCATGAGTACTTCTTTTCACCTATTTTGCAAATACTTTATGCCAGGACAAATAAGCTATTTTAAAAAAGACAAATAAACTATTTAAAATAGCTTCTTCTTTCTGTGCAAGTGGCTTTTAAGAGTCTGGTAAAGCCCATTGATAGAACTCTGTTACCATGTTATAAGATTCTAGCCTTAGTGAAAAGAGTTGTTGATGTTGTTTTTGTTTCTTGGTGGGAAGAATTATCTGTGATGAAAAGCTCTTATTTACGACCCTTCATATGCTCTGTGTGTTTCCTCCAGCTAATGACCTTCTTCTTCTTCTTCTTTTTTTTTTAAAGATTTTATTGGGGAATTGGGGAAGAGGACCAGCTAAGTTGTTGTCCTTCAGTCTTAGCTGTGGAGGGCGCAGCTAGCTCAGCTCCAAGTCCGGTCACCATCCGGCCGCCCGGCGGCAGCTCATGGCCACTTAGCTCAGGGTGCCGTGTTCAATCTTAGTTGTGGGTGGTAACCCACCATCCCATGCAGGAGTCCAACCGGCAGCCTTATTGTTAGAAGCACGTGCTCTCACCAGCTGAGCCATCCTGCCATCTGTTGGCAGCTCAGCGGCAGCTCAACTAATGCCCTTCTTAATTGGCAGGGTTGCCCCCTGGGTTTAAATTCAGAAACACCACCTGCCTGTTTGTCGCAGGTGACAGTGGTTGCATGACAGAAGCAGTTGGAAGAGCACACTGTCTTGGCGAAGCAGCCGACTCTCAATGGAAGGGCTGCTTTGTGGCTTCTTCTGAGTTTTCCTTCTTAAGTGCTGCTTGCCCATTTGCTATACAGCTTACACGTCTCGGTTTGCTGTTTCTGCAGGCTCTAGTTTCAGATGCAAGTGCCCTGAGGGGATGAAATGCACCCACTTGCCTGTGACCAAGTACTTTCTGTTGTGGGAACTTGGGTGACGCCTGTGTTTGTTCTAGGATGTTGTGTCTGATTCTTGTGACTGTTGGAATATCCTTAATTTCTTAATCTATTCTTTGCCTCTGGCAATTGCAAATGTTTCCCAGAAACACATGAAAACTCAATCATGGGTAATTGATTCCGTCTCTACCATATTGCCCTGTGCCTAGTTCTGTGATAGGCGCTGCCAGTGGTAGGTCTGACATTTCAATGTGGTCTCTGAAGTAAGATCGAAGTATGGTCTGTTCCGCCTCCTTGATAGCATTCAATTTATACCATCAAAGTTTTCTTAGGTTTCTCAGGTGATTCTATTTAAACTTCTTGTAAATCATGCCACGGGGGTAGTGTGTGTGTGTGTGTGTGTGTGTTTAAACTTTTTATTACGGAGCTTTTCAAATGCAGAGAATAATATAATGGATACTCATATACCCATTGCCCAGCTTCAGCAGTTGTAGAAATCCCACCATTCCTATTTTATCTTTTCTCCAACTTATTTTTCTGGAGTATTCTAACGCACATCCCCATGTACACATTTTACTCATAAATACTTCAGAATTCAGTGTGTTTTGGGACAACATATTTTAAGGAGCAGCTGGGGAAGGCTTGTCATTGAGGGACACCATTCACGTTGTGGTCTTGTAAACTGGAAGATTGAAATGTAGGTAGTATCTCGACTGCTGTGCGACACAGAGCCAGAGGTGAGGTGCGTCGCCTCCTTCCAGGTCTTCACTGAGGAAGCGTTTTCTTGCTGCGAAGCCTTCTCAGTGTCACAAGGAAGCTGACCTCGATTTCAAGTAGCTCTACGTCTTTCAAATTACATGTGATAACCAGGATTTCTTTAAAAAAAAAATTGAGTTCTCTGGTTTTTTTTCTTGAAGGTGAAACTTCTTTTGTATTCCTTTCTTTGGAAAGAGACATTGTTTATGCCTCTGTCCCAGGTGTAAGATGACTTTGCTATTGGAATGACTGGGAAAATAAGAGTGTCCTTTTGATTCTCATTTTATTTAGCACTTCTCTTAACTCAGACTCGAAGGTGATCGTATCTTCCATGGATCTTGACATCTATTGATCTTGACAGCTTCCCTTTTGAAAGACATATGTTAGTACTCCGTAAATAAAATTGAGTATTTTACCGACTTCTGCTTGGCCTCATTTTTAAACTATCATTGGCAAGTTTATTTTAACTGAGAATTCGCTTACACTTTAAATTATTTAACTCTCTGAGATGTGAGAACGGTGCAGGGTAACGGCATGGAGCTTAGACTTGGAAGTCAGACAGGCCTGATTCTGCGCTGCGTGCCTTGGCCTGGAGACCGTGTGACTTTGGATATCTTACCCAGCCCCTCGTAGCTTCACTTTCCTCATCTATGAAGTGGAACTAGTGGCTACTGTGAGAACCAGAAGATGCAATACTACAGAAAGGAGCTTACTTAGTGCAATAGCAGCTCATTGTGAGCACGATAAGTTAGTCAGGGTCAAGACCATGATTACTACCATTCGTCATTACCGCCATTCAGTTGGTGGTCCAGATTGGAAATGTTTATGTTTACCCAACATCTTTTCTTCTGTTTATCACACAGTATTAAAGTAGTCTATTTATTTGTTTGTCTTGCTAGACTGGAAGCTCTCTGAGGACAGAGGCTGTGTGTGTCCCATCGACTCTATTTCTAGCGTCCACTGTGGTGCCTTTTTAGAAAGCAGACATTCAGTAAAGATTGGTTAAACAATTAGAGGTGTTTCTCAACCTTTTTAAAACATGTGCGCTTTTTTTTATTAAAAATAAAGTTTTATACTTGTCTTTAGTGTGATTTGAAGTTCAAAATAAGTAAAATATGATATCTAAAAACAAACTAAAGTTTGGGGATTAAGGACTTTTGTTTTCCAAGTTCTTAGGCACCTGGAAAGATTATGATACACAGTTCATGGGGTTCCTCTCCACCTCACCCCTTGAAGAGTCAGCCAGTGGATAAATTGCCAAGAAAGAAACAACTTTAGTTTTAATGTCAGTTAGGGTGCTAAGTACATATATGACCTTTTAGTTTCCTCAACTCTGAAATGACGAGGGTTGGATTATAATAGACTTTGAAGAAACCGTCCATCTTGAATTTTTACTTTACTAATAATACTTAATAGTTGAATGCTTACAGTGTACCAGATAAACCAGGCAACACTTCATGTTTTGTCTCTCAATCCTGAAAAATATTAAGTGGCTGCTATGTATTTATTATGCTTGTTTTACTAATGAGGGCAAGTAGAATAGCTGTATATGGGAAATTATGCAGAAAATCACCACTGCCAGAAAGGAGTAGAAAAGCAACTTGACACTTGTCGTGGAGGTCAGTGAAAGAGAGGTGAAGAGAGTTACATCACAGTAACAAAAGCTTGGACAACAGGAGGCTGGCACCCCGAGAGATGCCATCTGAGCCATGATGCCAGGTCATCGCGTACCTTACAGTGATGTGAGAACCATGGCACTGTTTGAGAAATGCAGCTCTTAGCTCCTACAGTTGTCATATATTCCTCATGTTCCAGGGAAATTTACTTAGAAAGGGAAAAATATTCCCCAAGAGTCCTCAAAAAAAATTTTTTTGTTTAAGACAAGTGTCTTTAATGAGTTCTACTTGCAATTAGTTAAAGCCCTTAAAAGTATCTTGCAGTCCTCTTCAGCATTTTCACATTAAGTCTCTTAGTGAATTATTAATGCTGGTAGTACAGAGGAGGTGGATAATTAATTTTAAAAGTATGTGTTTTATAAAATAATGAAATAACAAAAAAATGTGTGTTTTAATCATGTTTATTTTAGCGTCTTTTTGTTTCAGCTTATACTCATATATGTTTTTCTGCTTCCTATGGGCCTCTTGTTATAATAGCACTCTGGGCCATTTGTGTGTGTGTGTGTGCGTGTGTGTGGTAAGCAGAGGGAGAGACAAACAAATAGACTGACCCACAGACATACTTTGTGTAATGGGGAAAATAAGTTTCTTCCATGGACCTGCCTTGGAACCACCTTCTTATGTGTAATATTTCTATGGAAAAATTTGTTCAAAAATTTAGGTAACTTTTTCAGAATGTTAGGTTAAAGAGTAATTTTAATCATAGGTTAAGATCCCTGTTAATACTTTAAAATTGTGTACAGTGATTTGAAAATTTTTCATAAATTATTCATGCCATCAAAGGGGAAAGAAATATGCATAAACCAGGGGTGGTCTAGGTTGACTTGAAAACCAGAGCTCCTAATCATGTTTTGCCTGAATGTTGTGGAATGAATGGATAAATTAGTGGTCTAATTTAATGGTGGGTGTCTACAGTAGAACATTAGAAAGTGCTGCCATCTCAGCCTGAGTGTTCTGTAGATAGGTTACTGCCAAGTAAGTTGACTAGATTTGTAGAGGAAGCTTATTTGACTTGACCATCTTATTTTCTGAATAGATTTGGGTGTTTGTGCTTTTTAGTGAATAATAATCTTTATTAGTTTTGTTGGTAGACAAAGTACAAAGGTGATATTGGAGAAGTTAGTTCGGGGAAACAAGTAACTGTTGTTCTGTCAGGGCTGTTCTGAAGTCAGATTTATTATGCTTTTCATCGCTGTGCCTTGAGCTATGAAAAAGGCTGTCATCCTGCAGCCACATAACCCCACAGTGCCTGCATGTAGCTAGGAGACATGGAATGCGAGGGCACTGACTGAGCTTTGTGGGGTTTGGTTTTATTTTTTCCAGCTCTTCTGGGCCTTGCAATGTGGGTCTTCCTCTCCAGGGTGTTCACGGGATTTTAGGCTTTGGAGGTTTGAGTCCTTTTTTTTAATTTTTTATCTGGGAATGTTCTATGGGACATGCACTTTTTAGCCTTAATTGTTTTAAATTGATGTTTGTGAATGGGTACCCCTCTTCTAACAATGCTCTCACTTTTTTATAGGTATGCCTTACATTTTCTTGTACAAAGTGGAATTTCCTACTGTATCATGATCATAATAGGGGCGGAGAACACGCACAAGTAAGTGTCCGCTTTGTTCACATGTAAATATGTATTTCTGTATAATAGAATTGGGTCAAAATAGAATTTTATTACATTAAACATTATTCTAAATTGTGATAGTCTTTTCAATACCTGCCATAAATACAAAAGCAAAATCATTAGTAGGCACCACTCTTATATTTGTTTAAAGCAAGGTTTCTCAGCCTCAGTACTGTTGAGCTATTAGGCTGGATGATTCATTGATGTGGGGGCCGTCCTGGGCGCTGCAGGATGTGTGGCAGCTCCCTTGGCCTCTGATTTGTGGGGTCCAGTGTTTGCGACTGGAGGTGTGTAAGTAGATGCTTAGGGGACACAAGTTTGGCTGCTGCAGGAGAGAGGTAGGAGATCGTGTCCGATGCCATCTAAATTCTCTTCCAGTGGGAGCTCCTGACAAGCCACTGCTGGAGCTGCTGGAGCCAGAGGTGGAGATATGCATGAGTGCCTTTCCCCCCTTAAATCCATAAAGGGCCCTCAGTAAAATTTAGAAGTTTTACAGTTTCAGTATTGACTTTCTTCCTTTCCTGTCTCTTTTATGCCTTAGTTCATCCATTCTTTCTCTTTGGGTACCCAATACCTTATTACTATTATTATTATTTTGTCTCTCACCAAAACACATGGAAGGGGAGAGGGAGCTGGCTGTGTGCCAAGCCTGGTGCCGAGAGCTTTCCACTGGAGCTGGGTGGCCGCACCCTCATTTCATAGGCCAGCGAATGGGGACTCTGAGTTCTTATATAACCATTTGAGGTCACATAGCTTGAAAATGGTGGATTTGAACCCATGCCTGCTCTACTCTGACTCCTACTGTTTATTCTTCCATAACAAACTGTTTTGGGTCATTTAATTTCATTTAACTGAAATTCTTCATACTATCTGTCCCAAGCAATTTTTTGGTCTTTATCTCTGTGAAATGGGAAACTATTTCTGTTAAAGGAATTATGACTGTCAGCAGCCAGAGAGGAGTGTGTCCTGAGAGGTAGGATGAGGAAATATAGGTGAGCTTCCTTCTTTTGGTCTTGACATCATGCTGTGTTTTAGAGCTCTCTCCAGAGGTTAGTGTGTGAGTGTGTGTGTGTAAAATGGTAGTGATTAATCTTCCCTACCTTAGACGACCTCTCTGTCCCCCCAGAGATGATAAGAGGCCCCTTTCCTGGGGCCTGTGCAGTTGGAGGGAGGAGACCATCCTGGGCAGGTCTCTCTCTGTAGCTGCAGCCCAGAGACCTGGAGCTTGCTTGCTTCAGCATAAGTCCCAGCTTCCGTCTCCCTGTCCTGGGAACCCTCCCTTCCCGTCTGTCACAAGACACCTTTCCCTGGGCTACATGACATTCCTCTCACTGTCCTATCAGTTTCTTCTGGGACGCTGGGTCCTTAGTCCACAGGACATGTGCCTCCAGGGCAGGGAGCAGGCTCAGGGACCACATGCTGGGGCTTTGGCTCCCGTGGGCTCAGCTGGGGAGCATGTTTCTCATGCAGAAGGCGTGGGTGGGAGGGGCCAGTAGACTGTGCCCAAGCGGGAAGGAGCCGACCTTCCTGGTGACATGGGATGTGAATTTGATACAAGGATTTAACTAGCGGAAGAAACAGTGTGGAGGGACATTACTGGCAGGACTGACCTCAGGCACAGGCTTTTAGATCTGAAAGAGCATGGGGGGGGGGAGTGCTACTAGCTTAACACAGGCCTGAGTGTAGGCTGTGGTTGTACGTGTGTGTGTGGGGGGCACGTGCTGAGGGAAGGGCTGTCATCACACCCACAGGGCCACTTTGCGAGGCCTTCCATCTCCTTTGGCTAGAATGCATTATTTGTGTAACAGTTCCATGTCCTGTCAGGTGAGAAACAAATTAGTCAGATGTGATCTGTGGACTGAGGGATATAGGTAGGGCTAAATTCTTACTTTTTTAATCTAGTATTTCTCTGGCCTATGCTATTTACAAACAGACACACACATGCCTCACTTGTAGAAAAACGTATGAGAATAATTCTGCTGCATGCCACACCTGGCAGCATTCAGATAAATCTGAAGTAGTGGGTACAATCATGTGTGTGGAGTTCCCTCACACGAACGTTTAGCTGAGTGACCGCAGTCCGAATGTATGTATCACTATTTGAAATTACCTTGTGTGCTTCTTGGTCTGTCTCTGCCTGTAGAATCGAAGTGTCAATGGCACTGGGACCCCGCCTGTCTTGTATACTCACCCCTCTGTCCCAGGGGCCTAGCGCAGTGCCTGGCATGTGGCAGCTTCTCAGTAAATATTTGGTGAAGAATGAGTTTAGGATACAGCCTGTTTTTCACCCCAGCCAGCCCTTTGCCTCATTCTCCGTGAATATTTTCCTACCCTGGAAAATATGTCTCTTTCTTCCGCAGGCTTTGCCCACTCTGTTCCTCGGTCTGGAGTAGCCCCTTCCTTCTCCCATCCCCTCTCCGCGACTGATCTTTCAGATTTCCTTTAACGTTATATGTCTAGATGCCTTAATACAGGACAGATTATTTTTTGCCCACTCTCATGGAATGGCATTCCTTTCCTTCTGAGAATTCATCTCAATTTTTAATTATAAGTACATTAAGGAGTTGTTTGAGAAATGTGTGTTGCCTTCATAGACTGCAAATTCTGTGGCAGCCATCAAGCCATGCCTGGTTTAGTTTTCTGAATGTAGTGTAATACCTAGGAGATTGTATGTTCTCAATAAGAGTCTATTGAATGAGCAAACGAATGAATGATAATGTGACTTCTGCATGACAGCAAGCCCTTCCCAAGTAAGTAGCCTCCCAGACCCCTTGCTTCCAGGCCACTGCTGGTTTCCTCCGTTAGGACCCCCGGGCTTCATCGCAGGGCTGCCCCAGAGCAGTTTTGGGAATGGCCGCTGTAGCAGCCCCCGTCTCCTGCTCTACTCAGAGCAGAGTCCCAGCCGTGGGCATCTGCTGGCTTCACTTTTATCTCTGTTTCTGGGGAGAGTAGAATGGGGTGTGGGAAAGAAACAGAAGGAATGGGAATGGGGGAATAGGTGAAGAGAGGGAGCTTCCCCCATTAGGTTCTAGACCAGCACTTCTCAACCTTCCTAATGCCGCGACCCCTTAATACAGTTCCTCATGTTGTGGTGACCCCCAACCATAAAGTTATTTTCGTTGCTACTCTATAACTGTAATTTTGCTACTGTTATGAATCATAATGTAAGTATCTTTTTGTTTTCCGATGGTCTTAGGCGACCCCTGTGAAAGGGTCGTTCGACCCCCAAAGGGGTCGCAACCCACAGGTTGAGAACCACTGTAATCTAGAAGGAGAGGGGTAGAGGTGTGTTTTGGATGTACCACCTGGAGTTAGGAGGGCATTTTTCCTGGAGAGGGTAGCACAGGGTGCCTGGGATCTGGTTCTGATGTCCTGAATATGCCTTTGTAGACGGGCGTGGGAACCTCAGCACCCTTCATGGTAGTTTTTTAACTTTTCTCTGGGAAACATTGTTTTGAGTTCCAAAAAGTCTCAGACTTTTGGGACACAGCACAAGGAAACTCCACTATTTAAATATAAACAGCAGCAATGTGGGATGGTTAAAATGGGAAGGGTAGAAAAGCTTGTTAATCTTGAACAGTTAAGCTGAAGGATTTTCTTTATGACTTGGCGAGTAATTTCCAACAAAACAACTGACCTAAAGAAAAAACTGTGAACGATATAGATCAAAAATTGCATCTACGGAATGGGTTGCGAAGCTGTGTATGGGATTATATTGTAAGAGCTGTAGGAAAGTGATTTTAAACCTCCCATCACCTGACTCAGTGACCCTCTCATTTGAGCAGACATTTCTTGTGTGCCAAGTTGTTCCAGAAACTGAAAGATAATGGACACATGGTCTTCACCCTTTGAAATGCACTGTGTCACTTGGGGACATTAAGACTGTCAGTCCTGCAACAGGTATTTGTTATGCTGATGCTGGGATCCAGAGATGAATAAAAAGACACGCTGCCTCCACAAGACGCTTCCCGTCAGCCTGCCAATCAGACTGTAATTCCAGTTGTGCAGAGCTGTGCTCAAGGCTGAGGAAGCAGAAAGGAGGGCGAGACAAGCTCGGAAGCAGTAAAACCCAGACTGCTTGTATCAGCCACTTACTACAAGTTCAGTAGAGTAAAACAGTTGGAAACAGAGGACAGATATTTGCTGTTAAGTAGAATTCTGCTGAAGTCTATTTTTAAATGTTGGGAAATATTAAAACATATTTTCCTCAGACTCCTCTTTTAATGATGAGAAAGTCGGGCACCGGGCTAGGACGTGAGGAAAGATGGAATTCAGGCTCTGACTCCCATGGGTGGTCTTAGTGATTAATCGGATGAGCGCTGGTTTGGAGTCAGCTATGTATGGGTTTGAGTTCAGGCGCTGCCAAATTGTCATTAGCTTTGGACTTGGCCAAGCCCCTTTCCCATTCTGGGTCTAAATTAAATGAAACTGGTGACTCAGCTGAGGAGCATGTGCCTACCTGCTTCCTCCTGTGGGCAACCGGGTAAGCTTTGTCTGCATAAAGGGTTCCGCTACCAAGAAGCGGTGCTCAAATTCTGGGTGAAATGCTTTCAGAGGTCCTCTTAGTGACACAGCATTTTGCTGGGGTTTTTTGTCCTTATGATGTTGTGTCAGAGCCTGTAAGTATCCCTGTTATCATACTCACTACTGTGCACGGTAATTGATTTTTTTCTTGTCTCCAGGATAGGAGCTTCTTGGCAGGGATGTCTTACTCATTTTTTAATCCCTCTGTTGAACAAATAGATGATAGAAGCTTAGTCAGTGAGCTTATCCATGCTGTTCTGTTCTGTTGAGCACTTGTGGGCTCTTGCTTTCGAGTCTTTTTTATTTTATTTTATTTTATATCTTATCTTATCTTATTTTATTTTATTTTACTTTATTTTATTTTATCTGATTTCAGTTTGGTTGGGTATTTTCAAACAGATTGCATAGGCCTTGAATGAGGTGGGTGCTGGGTTGACGTGCAGCCCTGTTCATGT